TTATTTGGTGTCCATATCTTATTTGTCCAGAGAAAAGAAAATTTGCCTTTGTTAATTGGTTGGTGCCCGCCACGATTTCATAAACTCTCAAATGTGCCCATAGGCACAAAAAAGTTGGGGACCACAAAAATAGAGTGTGACACTGATGACCATCTCCATCCAATGCCAAAGTTAAATATTTGTTACGCTTATTTACTGGAACAGTGTTCTCTCGTACCCCTACCTGATTTTAAATTTAATTGGTGAACAATATTTCTAGAGCTATTAAAGTTTTTCAAAATATTATCCAAAATTATTAACTATCCCCTACATGAGAACATGATGTTTACAGGCCACATTGCTGCCACGATCCAGACTGTCTGCAACAGCTGCTAGAGTGGTATGTATGCTTGTATTCATAGAGTTACAGAATGGGGTGTTTTGTGACCGGAAGACAGGAAACTAGAGAACATATGCCTAAAAGGGCACTATAAAGCACGAGAAGTTGTTTACCTTTTTCCATGTGCAATTATTGTAACTTGCAGGGCTATTTCATTTTGTCAGGTTGTCAGTTCTCAGGCAAAGGAAAGAACATGGAGTTAAGATCTCTGAACGTTATGTCCAGTTGCCCATTTGGATTTCACCACCTTGTAAATATCTCGTGCATGTAAACCTTAAGGTTTGTGAGACAGCATGTATCTCATGTATGCCAGGGTTCATTGTCATGTTTAGCAGAGCTCCGCACTGGTTTCTGCTAAGATGCACATGAATTCACCCCACGTTATGAATCTGCCCATCTGCCACATTTGTAAAACAAACATTTATGCATGAATGAAATATTACATTGCTGGCTGACACATGAAGACTAGGCAAGTATACTCACTGATGTACATATCTCTGATAATTTTTTATTAACAGTGAAGGGGTGGACCTTACCCTTTTCATACAATCAACTGTTATGATATCTGATGAAAGCGACATCTTAACTGTAGTGGAATTAAAGCTTATTATGTTCCTTTGGTTGCAGTTTACTGGTAGCCAAGAAAGCATTTTGCACATGGACATTGAGGATGTAGGATCTGGTATAAATAATGATACTGACAGACTGCAGCGGAGAAATCTCAGGACTGTATCACAGATTCGACCCGTGGAACACCAGGTATGCCACTACAGAAATTTGGACTGACATAATCTGTGGCTAGGTGCTCATGTACACAGTTAAGACTGTTATTTTTAGTGTATACTTCCATAGTATTGCATATTTGAAGATTTCTGTATTCTGGGTTCTTGCGCTGTGCAGTCTGGTCGACAACAACCCAGAAGACAGAAATCTTTATACGTATCACTGTGAAAACCTCAAATCTTATATTTTGCTTGTTTGTTTATGGTAAAAGCAGTGTCTTTCCTTTTATAGAAAGTAAGGAGCCAGTATTAAATGTGAAGTAGTGACAGCAGTAAATTGCTTTACTGTTGATGAAGTAAATACCTTTGGTAATATGAGCTGCGTTGAAATACTTGTGCTTATATTTTTATGGTTTGGAAAGGAAGCTTATAAATTCAACATTTAGTCATGTACATTAGTGTACTTTCGTAAAATCTCATTTATAATTCTGTTGTGCAAGATATCTGGCTCTGCTTCCCCTGAGGTTCAGAGCCGAAGCAGCCGCGCGTCAACTCCTGATGAACTCACACCAACTTTATGTTCAGATCAGTGTTATGTGGGTGTTATACCTCAGCCAGTAGAATCTCCTGGCACGATGGACACATCAACAAACTACAGTACAGCAACTGCAGGTATTTGGAATTATAAGTCTTAAATGTTCAAAAGTATTTATCCTAAAATAAATTGGCATAGAATAATATAAAGTCACATTTGGTTTCTCCTCTGCATTGTGAAATTTCATCCTCAGAATGCTCAAATTTTTATTCATTTTCTACATGAGCTTTAACTTGTTTAGGAATGTCATTAATACAAGTGAACTGAACTTTTATATCCATACACATCTCAGGTGCTCACCACAAACCAGAGATGTGCAGCAAGAAGTTCATGGAGACTACTGCCAATAACAGCTGTCGTACTGCCCATAAATGTGAATGCGATGAAGAAGAGGAAAGTAGTCAGAGCTCAAGCACAAGTATCAGCACTAGCTCATCTCACAAGAAAACAGAACAGGTCAGCAAGGCAGGTACAGGAGAATAAAGGACGGTTGTGCAGAAACTGAATTTCTTCAGTTAGCAGCAGCAGCAATGTAATGTTGATCGTGCATTGCTGTGTCGAAAGTTATCCTCTACATATATCTACGTGCTTGACCGCTCTAAGATCTGGACACAAATATTTTACTTTTATCCTAGTCTTAATGGATGCAACAAGCATACTTAATGTAATATTATACTGCAGCATGTTGCAGGAAGGAGTTTTCTATAACTACGCTACTTGTCATCCACAGGAAATATCATAGGTTAAATTGTTACAAAGAAAGAACAGCTATTTAACAGAATTACTTAATGTTTGTTGGTCATGTTTCACAGCATATGCACCACCAGCGGTCAGAACGCTGGGCTTGTAATACTGGGGTTCCAGGTTCGATTCCTGTCAGTGCTCAGATTTACAACTTGTGTTGGGCAAGGCCGTGGTCCAGGCATCACGGAGTTTTCCTCCGGGGTTTCCCCGGTTTCTCTGTGGCATCCCAACAGTTACTCCACTTTCATCATTTCGCGAAAAGGGGGTCACAGCAGGAGCGTTAAATGTCACTGTCCCGATCGAACCCATTTACTGGTGGGTCGTGAATCCTGCTAACCACCAATGCTCACCATGCTGAGAGAGAGAAAAAAAAACATGCATAGTCCAGCTGGCCTGCATTTCAGTAGTGAATTTCTAAACTGGTAAATTCTGGCTGGCAGCCACATAATATGAGGTTTTAAATCCCTTATTCCCATATAAGGTTAAGAAATTAATAATCTTGACAATGCTGATCTGTGTGGGTAAGTTTCAGGGCATACTGCAGTTGATATTTGTTATGACACTTTTTAACTACAAAGGATTAGTCTCTTTCCAGTATTTTAGATGTATAAGGATAAAGGAACCTGTTAACCTGTGATATATCACATTATTCAGAACAAGACTGACAGAAACATTTGTTAGTAATGTCTGCAACTTTATTATTGTTAAATCTATTACTGTGTGAAACGACTGACATTGGTGTCAAGATGACAGTGCCATCTTCTGTGACAGACATAACAGCAGACTATTACACTAGATTGCAATGTGCGTGATATAAATAAGGATTCAAATGTATTTTGATTTCTGGCAAAAATGCAGATCATGCTCTTTTATGTCCAGATTCAATGATGACAAGATCCCAGGATTTTTCTGATTCTGCAAGAATTCACCAATATTAATTTACAACTATTATAATTGTATTATATGCACGTGTTCCTCTGCAGTGCAGAACACCCTTTATCAGCTGGGCCTCATGGCTCACACATGGCAAACCACTAAATTGCTACTTCTTTGGTTAAATTTCATAGCACGTGGTTTCAAACCTCCCTATTCTCATATGATATAGGTTAATGTTATAAAATGATGATTTATGAAGTTCTGACACAGTGCCATGATGATGACATTCTTATTCATCTTGCTCCTTCATCATTAATGATGTTCATATATATTGCTGGAACTGCAAAAGGAGATACATATTAAAATTATTTCGGTTTTTCCACTAGCAGCATAGTTTAATGAACCGAGGAATACGTAATATGTTTCTGTAGTACAACCAAGATAGGTGAAACTGGTATTCAAACCTTGGGTAGTATCTTTTTTTTATAAACAATGAGTAACATGTTATTTATTATGACTTTGTGACATTCATCACATGGCCACTGATGAGGAATTTGGCATTACAACACAAAACTGAAGATATTTTGACAATAGAAAGTGCAAGCATCTAGTGTTTGTGAAACAAAAATACTGTTTAATAATCAGTTATTCAGCTTACTTAAAAGTAATGAGTTTTCTTTTTGCTTCTAAAGATTTATTTAATGAGAATATTTATAAAATTCAGTACTATACTTCATTTAGAAGAAACTATGTGTGGAAATATACAGGTTTAGTGCATGTCAGAATCTTCTTTTACTTCCATGTCACATAAGTGACGTTTGTAGCAGCATCACATATTGTAAAATGTGCAGTAAAAACACAGATAAATTTGTTTATAATCCACTCTCAAGACAAAAACTAGTTAGTATGCAAGGAAGTAATAAAGAAGGAAAGAATAGCATACTAAGGGCTTTTATATAGTTCTTTTCTTTATATGGATTTAACCGTGTAGCTGTACGTATAAAAGTTGCTTAACTGTTTAGATATATATTTTGGAATTACTAAGAAGTGATTAAATCTAAATGAAATTGTTGAAAGAGTAACAATCTCACATCATCATTGACAGGCTAGTCCTAACAAACTTTAATTTGAAGTAATTTTTCAATACATCTAGCAACTGAAAACCATAGATCAAAAATGTTTTTACACTGTTACCTATTACAACCCACTTTGGAAAATTCTTGAAATATTTTAATTTCCAGTGTAGCGTCTCCTCAGTTATAAAACTGTGTAGTATTAGCAGCATCTGATACTTCAGAGGAACCTACTCCATCTTCTGGGCTCCACAGCCCAAAAAATACATTGTATGTAGTTTGTTGTAAAATCACCAAATTCTCTGACATAATTTCTACCTAATAGTTAACAACATGAGAGATTTTCATAATTTGGCTGCATCAGGTGATGTAGTGACTTCTGTATCCTTTAAAATAAAATGCATGAGTGAAGTAATGTATCATAATCTTATCTTGGTTAAAATTTCATTTATTATTTTTGTAATATTAAACCAAGGTCACTTTTGCTCTAATTACATTTTACACAATGTATAAATCAAGTATGAACTTAAAATTGCATCGCAAGTGATGTTATGGGCAATGTACAGGGAAATGTATTATGTGATTAATGAAAGGACTGGAGCATACTGAAAACTCAAGCTGGTACCAACATGTAAGGCTGTGATACTTTCTGAAATGTTTTAAATGTGATGTAGGCTAGTTATTATTGATGGACCAGTGCCCATGGGTAAAGAAGCAATACCCAAACATTCTTCATGCTTTTGTGGTGGCTACATATTGAATACAGTCTATCTTTACATATGTTCCATGTTGTTATTGCTTGATATATGCATGGAAAGTAATGTTCCATAACAGAATTTAGTCCTTGTCTACATGGATATACTACATTTTATAATGCATTTTTAATGTGTATGAAAAAGTAAAAGCACTGTTTACTTGTGAAGACAAATGGAATGTGTCTAACATATTTTGTTTCTGACATGTAGAGACAACAAAACAATTATTAATTCACTAAATCAATGTTATGGTGAGGTTTCAGGTTCTCACGGCAGTACATATGTCTTCTGGGATGTTGCACCATATAGTCTGGTACAACAATAATTGTGCAACATCTCAGAAGACAGTCATCTCCAAACCAATGTTTGTATTAACTCTGCCCAAGTCTTTTGGTGTGACAGCTTTCCTGCTACACATGTACAGTAGTAAATACTTTAATGTAAATGGCATTGAAATCAAAACATGCAAGTTTAATACATTATAAAGTGTCTGAACTGATCAAGTTTTGTACGATTTGAAAAAAAAAAGTGAAACATTTTGGCTTTGATTTGCAATGATGAACATTAAAACCTGTATGTGCTGTCTTAACATACTCACTCATGGATACTTGAATGATAGTTTAAAACTATGGTCAAAGTATCTGCAGTCTGACTAACACAAGCGACTTAAATTCGGAAACAAACACTTCTTTCAAATATGTGTATATTATCTACATTTTGATTTCTTGAAACATCTGTGAAGAGTTTGTTTCTATTAAGTCACATGTGTTAGGGAAGAGACAAGCAAGGGCCAGCAAGCCATTGTTGGCACTAGAAAGCACTAAAATATACCTACAGTTATATCAAGACTTTAATTTAAAGTGGGGAATTGTCCCATTTTGACCAACTTAAATTTGTTGATAAATTTATAGTAAGTACTTGAAATACCATTCATCCAGAGCAGTTATCATATGGAAAGAAATCAATTTCTTATGCATGTTCATAGAAAACGTCCACAAAAGAAGAGGCAAAGATATCATGGTAAGTTTAAATACAAAATTTATAATGCTGGGAAAATAGATACACTGACAGAAAAAGTTTTAGCACTAGAATTTTGTTCACTTGCTTGATGAAAACAAGTGCAGAGAGAAGATTTCTGTCTTCTGGGTTGTTGCGCTGTGTAGTCTGGTCGATGTTTACCAACGTTTCAGAGGTCATACTGCCTTCGTCATCAGGGCGATGAATGTGCCAAGTGGGTGGAGGGGGCTAGGTTTATAGGAACTGGACAGTGCATGGAGTACTAAAGTATTCTATGGATATGACTACTCACTCTTCCATTGTTGTGTGTTCTTTTTCTTTAAAGTTCCTACTATACTAAAATTGAATTACTGTTTTATATATATAAGACAAATCAAGATAAATGTATGATATACATATTTACTTATTTATTATAATGAATAGTAATTAAGGTTTGGAAGATATATTGTGAAGGAATGATGATGGTAAAGTTGCACTATTAAGGATGAAAGAGGCCATATTTTGAGAGAGGGGGAAAAAGTGTAATTCTTTCAGCACAGCAAGCAACAAATAAAGTGGTACAAATGGTGACTAGCTGTATGAGAGCTGGTAGGATGGTAGGCAGGACTGAAAACATACATATTGCTTTTTGTGTTTTACAGTAACAGAAATGTAATTTAATTTTCATGAGACAAGGAGGTAGTGTAACTACTGCAAGCCTCTGATAGTACAATATAACATAAAATTAAGTTTTATTATATAGGTTTGTAAATTAAATCTTTTATCTGTTTGAATATTACACTCAGAAACCCCTAATGCAGGATAGCATATTATTATTAAAATAAGTTTACTTAGCGCAATTGTGGTAAGATGAAAGGTATGCAAAAGACTTTGTTGTTTGTTGCAGCAGCTATGACAGGACCATTACTCGTTTCAGCTATGTCGAGAGCTATAACTGGGTCTGAACACAGAGAGTGCTGCCAGTACACTGCTCCCAGATCCAAGGTTAACAGGTCTGTTATTTGAGACAGTAGGTACATGTACAACGTTCCTGGAACATAATATATTCTGTTTTATCAATAATACATATATCATTTTACTTCTGAGATTTTATAATCAAGAGTCTTCTGATTACTTCACCACAAAATTCTACACGTAATATGTTTTCAGCTATCAACCCATATAAAACTTCTTCTATGGCTCTCCGGTCTGTATTCGGTCCATGGCCTCCTCAATTCTCCTCTTCCATTCGGTCCTCTGTTAGGTCCGTCTGTCCGAGGCTTTGATTGAGGTTTCGAAACATCTTCCTATTTACGGTGCAAGGTTGTTAGCCTTGCGACCAACCCCCAACCTGGAGGACCAGGGTACCTGTCTTAGTCTGACCTCTCCCCCTCGACCAATCTGGCTAGGGAGGCCCTACCAGTAGCTTAAAAAGACATTATTTGGGAATAGTAGTAGTATGTACTTTCGGGCTAAATGCAGTACAGAAATGACTAAGAGATGATGTGGTTTTAAAAATGACTGTGAACATGTTTCTCTCATGTCTTCATGAAAATAAAATGTAAGGTTGTAAACAAACAAGGGGGAATGAAAAACATTATAAGCTCTCATTATGAGAATTCCTTTTATGTACTTAATATATAGACTGATATTGGTCTACTGTACTCTGCTACACCAACCAGTGTCCTATTGAAATGATTTATAAAATAATGCTGCTACAGAAACCAAAACACAATATTTTACACGTCAAGAACAAAATACAGGCAAGGCATACATAATTAACAGATCCTACAGCTCACCTGATTCCATACCCAGTAATAGTATTTCTCCATACAGTAGAATTGTGACAGGATGTGAATTAAAATATGGCATAGTATTGTATTGTCTCTGTTTACAACCATTTACACTGATATGCATGTAGTGGTGATCTGCAATACAGAACAATGTAAAATTCATTCATTTTTATGAGGAATTGCCCATATAAGACAACAAAGAATGAAATATTAAAAAAGTGCATTTTAAAACAGTTCTCCAAGGGAAATGGGCAAAATATAAATGCCAGTTGGTTAAGTGAGAAGACATCATTAGATATGATGAAAAAGTACCAGTTTATTTCTGGGGTATTTACTATTCCTACATCAATCAGTAATTTTATTAAGATTAGAACCATGTACCATACCAGTCAGCACAATGCTGATCCCATATCTCCAAAGAAAGATTTTCAAAATTCTACCATGTATTTCTTCCCACATATTTGATGGTAAGAAATGTGCTTCTTCTTGAAGAAGTTTGTAGGGGCAAGAATGACCTCCACGAAAAATAGGAATGCACAGTCCATTAGATGTCATTGCAGACACCTGAAATAAAAAGGAGATTAATAACAGCGACATGGGTGATGATAAATTAAATTAGAGAAAAGAGAATAAGAATACATAAAAAATTAGCTGCAAAGAGTAAAATTCATACACAGTTTCACCAGAACACTAGGTAATGTTTATTACCTGTATATCTTTGCTGCCCCAAATGCTGACGGCTCGGAAAAGATCACTACTAATTCGGAGTGTATGCAATTTTATTACTTCAGGAACCTTCTTGTTGTAAGTAGGAGTATTCAATTGCCATATTGAAATTCTCCCATCATGAGAAAGAACAGCAAACATGCTCCCAAAAGTTCTGAAATATAATAATTTCAATTTGAAACAAGAGTGTTGATAACCAATTAAATATTGGTGCCTGTCACTCAGATTTAAAGATCAATGAAGATAAACTTCAATGTGCTGCATACAGCAACCAAAGTTACAGTTTACTACCACGTAAAACATACAAACACAAAATAAAAATATCATAATGTTATAGCCCAAAACCAAACTCACAGCAAGATTTATTATTTATATAAATTCACAATCCACTTCATATCTATTTTCACTTTTTAAAATCTACAGTTCTGTGACAATATAAATTTGCTTTATGATTTCATCTGTAATCCATCCATGCAGGATCTCCAATTTCTGGATTTCAATATTTTCTCTTCATTTTTCGATATAAAATATAAAGTTAATGCAAAATACATCAATGTAATTGAAGTTTCAGTTGTATGAAATATTTCTTTTATTCTCATCCTTGATACAAACACAAAATTTTACTGTCAGAAAATTACTTTGTCACACATTTACAAACTCTGCCTTGAACAGTATCACAACTTGAACTTCTGACAGGGAGAAACTCCCTAAAGTTTGTTTGATGAGAGATTTTATAAATACAGTGTTTCAAGGAAATTTCTGCAAATTAAATGAAAAGAAATTATATGGGTTACAAACTAAATACGTTTATCAATTTCATAACAAGTACTGATAAACTGTATTGAAAACTGGAACAGTAAATTACAAATATATCTAAACCTGTGTGGTGTAAAAACACTGATAGGTATTATGATGTAAAAACAAGTGTGGGACCTCATGGTACTCAGTATTATCCCTTTCAGATATTTCTGCATATAGATCACAGCTTTTTCCTCTGCTAAATATGCTTTGGAAGCACAGAATAATTCCAGATTTCATACTGCCCGACAGACGGGGACCAGTAAGGTTAGCAAGACCACAACTAAAGAAATTTTCCACAAGCTAAAATTTATTACTTCTGAAGAGAGAGACAGCAAGATCTCTGAAATGCTGACAGCACAGCTCATGTCTACATGATGCCATCACCTAAAAACAGGATCACAATTAGCATCAGCACTTAACTGCTGTTAAAGCCTGAAATCATCTATTATTCATTATAAGTTAATTCAGTCAAAACACATTCACTGACCTAAACCATTTTATAATTGTCTTGTCTTAAATCCTCAAATATTAATGTCTAAAAATTACATACTTATAAAACCACTAACAATTAACATGATTGTAGCTACAAGTTCATACCTGACCATTGCCACACACAAAAAGTGCTCTCGAATAACAACAGGAAAGCCATATGGCTTCTCATTTTGAAACATTAATGGGTTTATATGCACAGTGTGGTCTTCTGATGTAGACACTACTAGGTTATGTTTCAGTTGATCGGAATAATTTTTACATTCTCCTGTCAACAGAGAAGCAGTAGTACATTTTGTGTACAAAAATAAACAAGAATTTTATCCTTATCATGCCACAAAACTAATTCTACTAGCAGTATCTACCACACTGAAAATGTTTCAATAAAAAGGCTGTAGATCTTAATCAGACTGATATTTCATGTTGTGTCCCTGTTTCTTTTCAGAAGTCAGGACAGTTCAGATAGTACAGTGAACAGGCTATGGGCTGGATGACCAGGGTTTGATTCCTTGAGGGTAAAGTGGCTGAGGCACAAAGCTGAATGCTTGCCTCCTCCTCGTGCTGACATTAAGAATTTGTGGAGTGATACGCCAATCCCCTGTATGTCTGCATGGTGTTATGCTTAGTTAAACACAAGGGCCAACTTCATCTTCACAAGTTTATTTCTTTTTGTAATGAGCTGTTTTTGAGGAAATCTATAAAGTTTCTGATGGATCTTCATGTAAAATAAAACTGATAATGGACTGACATGTACCAAAATTAATTTCATACAGTAACTTGCAGTATATATTTTCCTAACACAAAATTTAATCAACATGCTTTAATATTTTAAAACATTAAACCTATGGGTAAACTGCAAAAATGCATAAGTCAATAGTGAACTCTACTCACCACCATAAACCATAACACCAAGATCTGTAACACATTTCTTATGTGATGTTACCTTAACATAATTGCTGTAACACCACAAAAGAACATCACCATTATTATGACCTGTTGTAACACATGTTCCTGAAGTCTTCATACATGTCACTGGCCTTAAGCTGGTGTCTTCAAACAAAGTTTTTGTGATAAATGCCCATTTTCCAACATGATGCCACTGGCACCATGTTTTGTAGACTATTTTCCATTCAGAATCTCTGAGAGACAAATCATGCCACCCTGGATAACAGTTGTTCAACAGGTCTATTCTTACATCTCTACTAATCTCCTTCACACAGCAGGTTTTCCATATATGAGTTCGCTAATAAAGAAAATTACAAATTATTAATTGACTTTTAATCAAAGATCATGAAGATTTATAACACATTATTCATACACATGTAAATGGCAGAATACAACAGTATGACATAACAATATTTTGTAATTTTTCTACAGTATGGAGCAGTGCTTCTTAAACTTTAATTCAAAGATTTTCACAAATCTCTAAACCAAGTAAAACTATAAATGTGTACATAGCATTAGCCAGGCAACCACTTGTATATAATTTATTAATTAGTTTCGAAGTATAATTGGAGTCTATGCTATTTAGGCTACAATATTTAATTAAACCTTTGCAGAACTATAACATAATGCTTGAATTTGGAAATGTTTACTAACTGGAAACTTCTGTTCCAATTAAAGTTATGATAAATTATTAAAAAGTATCCTATCCTGTGAAGTAATGATATCATGAGAACCATAGGATAAACAGTTACTAACATGTTCATCACTTGCATTTAAATGTCCAGTGTTGTTTTGCTACAATCTGAGACCTGGCCATCATTTATAATTTCTGCACTAGTATCAAACTATAAGCTGAAGCTCAGCCTGCTGCTTTTGTCTGGGTGTCTAATCAAACCAAAACAGCAAGTATATTTCATAATGGCCAATTATTCCTGTATTCTAAGCATTATATCATGAAGCTAAATAGGGGATGGGCAGACATGGCTAGATCTCAGCACTAAATAAAAAATATATTTTATAAATAATTTCTAGTAATATTATACAGTTCTGGTAGCTCAGAAAAACAAAATCATTGGCTGTGGGGCCAGACAGCTGGAAATAAATTCCTGATAGAGGTACTGGGAATTTTTCTCTTCACCATCATGTCCAACACAAGAAATTAATCAGAGTAGGATTTGAGGTTCTTATGGCAGTAAGCACAAAGTCGAATGTCTTCTAAGTTGTAACACTGTGTATTCTGGTAAAATGTTATCAATGTTTCAGAGGTCCTTGCTGCCTCCATCATTAGGATGATAAGTAATCACTCTGATGATGGAGGTAGCAGGTACCTCTGAAACTTCGGTAAACTTCTGCCAGACTGCAGGATGCTACAACCCAGTAGGCACCCACCTTCAAGTTTATAATTTGTAAACTCTTGTGAGTTAACATAATAGCAGCACTCAAAACTTGCATTTTCATTTAGAAAACAATGTTTAAAAAAACGTAAATAAAGCATCAGAAAACTGTTATTGCTACAAATTCAAAGTAAAAATGTAGGCTTCCTGACTTAACCTCACAATATTGTTCTCTAACCTAGACTCACAGAATTAGATAAAGTTACTACCATTCATCGTCCATCTCTCATTATAAATACAAGTCACTGTGATACATAATGCCCATGTGATAATTTACACTTTTCTTTTAGACAGGATTTTAACTTAATGATTACTGTACCTGCGACAAACTTCGCACCAAGTCCTTCCACAACTTGCACACTTGTTCACAGCGTGCAAGACATTTTCCGTCTACATATGAAAGAATTACTTCCGTAACCTGTGTATTTAGATATGGAATCATCTTGTCATTCATGTTCTTTCTTTGTTCCTGCCCTGCATACATTTCTGCACAACACTCCAACAACCACCACTAACAACCAGTGTCACGGCCCCAGTCAGACATCAGACTGTAAACGGAACGTGCCAGAATCCAACTCGTATTAATTTTTATACTGCTATTGTGACATTACTCGTCGAATATGCGAGTTTTCAAGGTAATTATATACATGATGCTTTCGAAAAGAGCAAGATTATAAGTATTACAATGTGTCTGATGTGCTCGTCTGTTTCACAGACTTTGCACAGCTGATGGCCCATTTGTCTATTATCTTATCAGAATTAAAACACTTGTGTCTCATTCTGACATATGAATATCACGAAACCGAATGCTATTTTATATCCAATATAGGGAGAAAACCTTATTTACAAGGAGGCATTTACCTTGGTTGGCAATGGGTACAATTTTATAACCAACTACCTGTCACCATTATTGTGATGTAATGGCTTGTCAACATTTCCTAAAAAAATGGTATTCATTTTTGCGAATTACAAAAGACCTAGTCCTCTCATACATTGTGTAAAAAATATTATAAATTAAAAATAATTATAAAACTGACGACGTTTCAAGCTACTGGGCCTTGAAGGTTTACAGGGGACATGCATTATTAACTTCAGGACTTGTGATGCGTAGAGCTAAATATCTCCTTCTGGTCGAACTGAACTCAATCCGCATTCAGTTTATTCAGCTATTCCGGTTTACATTGATTTATTGACCCGACCTCGTTAGCAGACCCATTCGTTAAAAGGTTACAAAGTTCGGAAGTGTGATGCAATAGATTACAGTTCCAATTGTCAAAAGAGTGTGTGCTAGTTATCTGTGATTGTTGACACTGGAATTTATTGACATCGCAACTTATCAGGCTTGCCAATCATGGATCATGAATAGTTTGGGTACCATTTTATTGAGGAAATCAGTGCCACTGTGTAAGATGCAAAACTATAACTGCGTAACTTTATTTAATAAATTATGATATGCGATTTTAAGTTAAAAAGTTACAGTGGAAGCACGGTTCCGGAGAATCCGACGTAAATACGTCTCTGTAATGTAATGTAAAGTAAAGTAATGTAATGTAATGTTATCTTCAATGTCATCCATCTTGTTACGAAAGCGGATTGTTAACGGCAGTAATGTAACACAACAATGCCGAGTAAACAGATGACGTTTTCTAGGTAACAAAACAATGCACGCAAGCTGACCATTGTTGTCGGTCCATATTTACACATTGTTGTCGATTTGTTGATACGGATCTTACACATTTTTCTGTCACTTTTTTGCGAAATGACCCTTCCATATAGACGTATTTACGTCAAAAATAACAGTTCTGTGCTTTGTAAGTACTAAATGTCCAGCAATAGCCCCGCATATAGTCTCTAGTAAGCTAAATTCTAGTGCCTTGTATTGTATTGGTACCACTGTCGCTACAACATAAATGCCAACGGTACAATGTTTACAACGACGCGTTGACATGCGTATTGTCATACAGTCATGAAATGAAAAGAATTAGATAGGGATTAAGTTACGATGGCAAGATTGTTTAATTTTTAATCAGCATGCCATCAAATTGGAATAATTGTTGCCAGTTTTTATAATTCAAGTTAAGGCAAGGCTGGTTGCAAATTAGTGAGACGTATTATCATCTGAGCAAATATTTTGGAATTATATTTTTCGTAGCTGTTCTTAATAATCTGCTCCTCATTTTTGCATATACTGCGTTTTATAGTTCTGAGGTGTTTTTATTATCCATGCGTCTTTGTGATAGAATAATAAGATGACAGTGAATATATTGGGAATACAGTGGAGATACATTCCTAAGAGACATATTCTTTTATTTGTGGTGCTTGTATTATCTTCTTCGTTTGTTCAAGCTGAGAAGGAACCAGTTGAAGTCGATGGTCCAAAATCAGATAATCCGCCTTCAGTAGTATGTATATTTTTACAAGTACCATATGCTATTGTATTGTGTAGCTTTAATTCAGTGAGGATGGAATATAGTATTCTGCAGTAGTAATCTATAGAATTCTAGAATAGAATGTAGTATATTCTGTAGTAGTATAGAATTCTGGAATTGAGTGTAGTATTTTGCCCCACTTTACCCACATGTAAGGCTTTTTTAACTTTAACTATACCACAGTATTGTAACATAACCCTGTTGTAAGAATTATTAAGAATTTACTTTTTCTGTTAGACTTCTATTATGTGAAGGACAAAATAATTCAAGAAGGTGGTTGTTATGACAACATTACACAGTAGAATAACGATCACATTCTTGTCCTCTGTTCATGCATATTCTGTGATCAGGTCTGCACCTAAACATACCTTTCTTGATAGTAAATAAAGAATAATTCTACATGGCAGAAAATTTGCACTTGTACAATATTGTATATTCCATATATCCATATTCTTTTCATTGAGTGCGTATAACACATTTTAATTTGATAATGTGCAGCTGAACCCGGTTCCTCAAATAATACTTTACTTCAGTTCATTTGTTAAGTTAGCAAAAGTTATTTGACAGATATTGTAAATTTCTTGTATATAAGGAATAAACATCAGACATATTACCAATAAGTTAAGCCTCTCAATAAAAACTATGTGTCAGTGTGCTATGTACATGTTGCTACTCATTTGCATTTAATGTGTTATACTTGAGTATTAATAATAAGTGACCATTTGCTTTTAACTCGGGTGTTATGGCACCAGTGTTGTTCTTGCGTCTGTGTACATATATAACTAGGTAGGCCTACTGATTCAGATTTTTGTCAGCAATTGAAAATGCGCACAGTTTGAGGCCTGAGGCTTGCTACTAGGATAGGAAGTTTAATTTGTTACTGTTAAAAATTTGTTTCATGTTGTCAGCTTACAATAACGAGCATTGTTTGTCCTTTTACAGAAAGGACATATTTCAGAAGCTGCTGATGTAAATAGTGAGAATGAAAATGGAAGTAAAAGCAACGTTGGCTTCATTCATGCATTTATTGCATCTATATCAGTTATTATTGTGTCAGAGTTGGGAGATAAAACCTTTTTCATTGCAGCCATTATGGCAATGCGACATCCCCGTCTTACTGTATTTCTAGGAGCTATTTTTGCCTTGGGGCTTATGACGATTCTCTCAGGTAAGTTTCTATATGACATTGTTAGGTGTGTTTATTAAGAATATTGTAAAGATATCCACACTGTTTATAAGTTGCCAAGAAGTTCCCAAATCTACATTTATTGTGTTGGTTTTTGCTGTATTAGCCATCACCAAATTGTAGTATTTGAGGTTTTCATAGCGGTGAGTCTGAAGATTGCTGTCTTCTGGGTTATTGCGTGTCAGGGCGATGAATGTTATCACCCTGATGACAGAGGCAGTATGACCTCTGAAACAGTGGTGGAAATCTACCAGACTGCATGGTGCAATAACCAAGAAGACAGCAATCTTCATCACCATATTGTATGCTTCAAGTTCATAACTAAATCATACAATGGTGCAACATGAACATTAAAGCTCATGTGAGTGAAGACAGCTTAACTTGCAGCATAGCAAAGCTAGCAGCACTGGTCTATTGACTTAGAGCAGCAGAGTTTTTTTGGAGGGTAAAAAGGGTAAAAATAATTTGGCCTTGAAGCATGCAATCTGGTGACAGCTGTTACATTTGTATAAAAGTTTTCCCTTTCTGCATTATGTTTTATATTTTGAACATGGTGAGGGCATTACACTTTGTTAGGTGTGGCTGAGGGTTAATCCAGGATTCTGTTTCTGAAGCTGAAAGCTGTATTGTTGTTGAATGAAGTGGCCCTTAGTTTATCAGAATATTTATGGCTTTGCTTGCTGATTATGAATTTGCTGTGCAGCTACCAAAAGGGTTATGAGATTTGAGGTGCTCAGAAGTAATGAGGTGATTATATTCTGGGTTGACATTGTAGTCTTGTAGATGGTTCCCTTTGTGTTTATTTGTAACTGTTATATGTTCCCCTTTACAGTTGTGTTTGGATGGGCAGCAACTATAATTCCTCATGCCTACACTTATTATATATCCACTGCCCTTTTTGCCATTTTTGGGCTAAAGATGTTAAAAGAAGGCTATTATATGTCTCCAAATGAAGCACAAGAGGAGTTTGAAGAGGTTCAGTTGGATTTGCGGAAGAGAGAGGATGAGGTATTAATTTGCTTCATGTAACACCCACTGCTGGATGCTAATATTTGTCTTAAAACTGACAAATAATGTTTTTTTTATTTACAGTATGAGAAGGAAGCATCTTCATCCTTGATTCAAGATTCAGAGTCTGGGATTATTAGAAAATCTGTAAAACCTGGAAAAACTATATTATCCTTAATATCTAGAATCTTTATTCAAGCCTTCACACTTACATTTTTAGCTGAGTGGGGTGATCGTTCACAGTTAACTACAATTATTCTTGCAGCCAGAGAGGTAAGTTGTGATTATCTGTTTATGGTAAAATAACAACTTCATCTTTCACAGATTAGGCCCTGACATGTTCCATTCAGAATTAATGTTGAAATTGTGACTTTTCTGATATCTGATGGGACTGCTGGTTAGGTTTGGTTCAGTGCAGCCCCATACACATACAGGACAGGACAACACAGAAACATACATCCATATCTACCCTGAATGAGATTTAAAAGCAGTTGTTATCCCTTTATTTGAGTAGTCCCCCCCCCGCCACACACACACACACAAACACAAAAGAAATGTATTCTACTATTTCTTTTTGTTGATAGATTTGATGTAAATTTTTTTTAAATTTCAATGGCATTACTTCAATTTTCATCAAGAATTTAATGTTGATTTATTATTTGCAAGATTTATAACTAATGTGTTTGGCAAATGAAGTGCTGCACTAATAAACATGTACAACTACTGCTGTAGATCGTTGCAACCATTGTTTAATTGCAGATGATGGACCATGAACATGCTTAAAAATACAGAAAGACATTGTAGCCCTTAGCTATAAGTCATATGCAGTAACACAGAGCAACCTACACAATTATACAATATATTTAGTTGTAGCATATGAACATTGGTACATATTATGTTATCCTGCCAGTTCTGCACAACAACATTAACAGAGTTTTACTGTGTATCTTAGGGATTATTCTTGTTTTTTGTAGTTGCACAGAGCATAGACAATCACTGGATATTTGTGCATAATCCTATATCATCTGTGTTCACCCATTTGCCATTTTAATCTTTTGATTTTGCCCGTTACACTGTCATTTTGCTGGTAGTTGTAAAGTCCCTGGTGTGGCATAATGTTTCAGGTTGTCTTTTTATTGTAGGATGTGGTAGGCGTCACAATTGGAGGAATTCTTGGCCATGCCCTTTGTACAGGGCTGGCAGTTATGGGAGGTCGAATGATAGCTCAGAAGATATCAGTCAGAACGGGTAAGGCATATCTTTGGTTCTTCTCTTCAGTCAGTAAACATTTGCATATTTTCTTTATATATGGTTTATTGAATGTTGCTATTAATAGCTATCATTAGCACTAAATGACGCATCTTTCTCCCACTCAATCAGTATTTTCACAGAAAAAGTAAATAAGTGATTGTGTACATATATTTGTCCTGTAAGTTAATTAGTTTTGTTTGTTATATATAACTTACTTTTAGCATAATTTCCTTGTTATGTAGGAACTTAATTACATTTTATGGACATTAAATTTACTATTGTACAGTTTTAAGAAATTAGTCTGTACATAAATGTTGATACAACTGTATCATCAAATTTGTGTGTGTGTATGTGTATCTATGCCCCTAAATAACTTTTGAACTAGTCTTTTATTTTTGAAAAATTTATGTGAACATTGTGATTAGTGAATTGTGAGGGATGGAGGAGAGAGTGGGCTTGTCTATTTAGGGTACTGATTCAGCTTTCGTCTAGAGACACTGAAGGAAACCTGTCAGGATATCTGTCCATAACTGGAATTCAATCTAAGTATCTCTTGAATGAGACAGATGATTTCTGCTTTTAAACTCATATTTATTGGCAGAGATACAGAGATGGTGGCCGTGTAAATTCTAATGTAGGAACGATGCTAGTGTCATTTGTAGGGATTTCTGAGTTCTATGAGATTAATTTTTGTTTTTGTGAATTTGTTGGTGTGTTGATACTTTATTAACTGTATAGATTATATAGTGTTAAATGAGAGGAAATGGAATGAACTGCAAAGGTTAAGGATGGAAGTGTTTGTGACATGATTTCTAGAGATATCCCAGCATTTATGTGACGGGCCTAAGAAACATATCAAGGTATCTGGCATTCGTTCTGAGGTTCAAACTTAGCATGTTTGAAAAGAAAAACAGGAATACTAACCTCTAGACTGCAGCAATATGTTAACTGACTCTGTAGAGCAAAGTCCTTCTTGAGAAGCTAATGGTCACTCTGCATGCCAAGAAATTTCCCACATTTTATGAAACCAAATGGTTCATCACCGTGTCCATAAGAGCCCGGCACTGGATACTATTCTGAGCCAGATGAATTAAATCCGTCTTCAGACTTTATTTTCTAGAGATTATTTTTATTTTTATCCTCCAGTCTAGGCTTATTTACAAAGTGGTCTCTTCCATTTAATTTTTCAGACTTGAATTTTGCATATATTTCATGTCCCTTTTATACATGCTACATGTTCCACCTATTTGCTCATTATGTAATTTTCTGTATTATGCTGTTACTTCCTTTCTTTTAGGTAAACATATTCCCCTCAGCACCCTGTTTTTAAGTGTGCTGTTTAATCTTCTTGTCTAGGTTTAATATTAATTCTATTTTTTCTTTTTCTTTTTCAGTGACCTTAATTGGTGGACTAGTGTTCCTGTTATTTGCTCTTACAGCATTATTTTTTGATCCAAATGCAGAATAAAGAGTACTTCTAGCAGCACCTGTCACATAAAGCATGAAACTCAGCCCAGCAGTATAGTTACAAATTTGCTTAATGGGCAGTTTGATTATTCACAACTAATTGTGATCGATTTGTAATGATTTTCACAGTCTGTGCAAGAAGCCCAGATTTACTCCCTTTATGATGGATGAATATATAAGGTATTAAGTTATTATATTATAAATTATACATGGATGGCCTCAAGTTATGATCAGATGATATAGGTGGCCGAACACATGAACATTTTATTTATAAGGGAGCATGACACTGATATCAATTTACATGTTATGGAGATGGCAGACTTCTGGGATATTGCATGTAGTCTCTTGAAGTTGGTTAGGGTTTCAGAGGTGTTAAGGCTGGGGCCACACGACCGTACAAAGTATGTCCGTTGTAATGCACATCGTGACGTCCGTCATAGAATTATGATTTGTAAGTAAATACAATACTATTATTTTTTTTTCTAAATCCTTTCAAGCTGCCACGGTTATTGGCGCTCGTGTGGTGTCCTCACCTACGTCCGTACAAAAGTACGTCTGTTGCAACGGACGTACTTCGTATGGTCGTGTGGCCCCAGCCTTACTGCTTTCATCATCAGAGTGATGAATAAGCTGCATGTGGAGAAGCAGGTGGTAGAATAGGAGCAGGCTTGACCAGTAGGTAAGGGGGAGAAGGATTGAGGTGAAGACAGTCAGAGCAAGTGAACCATTGTCAGAATATGGGTGATCAAAGCCTTGGAAGTTCTTTATTAAAGTGCAAGGCAAAGTTTACTCTTATTTTGATGTATCTTTGGCCACTTCAATCATTTTCATGAGCCAGCAAACTTACAAATAGATGCTTCTTGTTGATGAATGGACTCATGTCCTCCAAAGACCACATTCAAACATAAAAGAAAGTGATTGTAATTGTTATGTAAAACATGTTTTAGTAGCATCCCATAAAAGGAAAATCCCTCGCTAACCTGGAAATACCAGCCACAGTGCATCACATGACATCCCTCTCTCCCCTGCTTCCAGCAATTTCTTTCTTTTCTTTCAAAAGACCCTGTGCACATACCATCACCATAATGAATATCCTCTCTCATTTGTTTCACTTACAATAAATCTTTTAAGTAGGATTTGAGATTTTCACTGCGGTGAGTCTGAAGATGGCTGGCCCCTGGGTTGTTGCGCTGTGTAGTCTGGTAGAAGTTTACTGACGTTTCAGAGGTCTGTGCTGTCTCCATCATCAGGGTGAAGAATAAGCCGCATGTGTGGAAGCAGTTACATCACTTCACATCACTTGTTTTTTGTTGAGAAGTGAGCAAACCATTTAATTTCATGAAGATGGCTGTCTTCTGGCTTGAAGCACCATGTAGTTTTTTAGAAGTTTACCAGTGTTTCAGAGATCTGCTTCCATCATCAGGACTGATGGAGGTAGCAAGACAGCCGTCTTCATACTTCCACCATGAGAACCTCAAATCCTACAATTTCATTTCATAGTGAACAAACAGTGAACAAGTTATACACACGTGTAATTTTGATCATTTTGCTGCGGTATGGCATGCTCATACTGTAGGACTACATTTTAATGTTTTGTTTCACATGAGGCATAATATTTCTTCTGTATTTTTCATTAGAATCTAATCCTATAAATGAGGAAGTAGGTGAGCTTTCTATAGTTGGATGTCAGTCTTTTTTGCATAAAATTAAAATGTGCCAAAGTGTTTATTAATACCTTAACCACTTTTGTTAACCTTTTTAGACACGCTCATGTTTACATATTTTTAATGTTGAGATATATTGAATTTCAGTAGTGTTAGAAACACACATTTATTTGTTAAAAAGTAAGCATCAATTAGCCAGGTCTATATTTCGGTGAAAATGTTACTGCATGTAAAAAGTGCAGTCAGAAAGTTATTTATTTTAGTATTAGCCAGTTATGTATTGGTCATTGTCAGGTAATGGTGTGTGTAATCATTTTGATGATGCTGATGGAATCGATCTAGGGTTAAGGTGTTGCGCTCCTCTGCCAGAAGTCTTGCATTTACACCAGGCAACTCCAGTGGGGATTTGAACTCATGCATATTTCTTCTGACATATCTGAAAGAGATGAAACTTTGTGAACATGGGGAATATCTGGTCCCTGCTACAGCTCAGATTTAAGTTGCAGGTGTGCCATTTCCTTCTTCATAGTTTTATCAAGAATAAATAGAATCCTTCTTGGGCTACCAACTGTGTAAGGTGGTTTAATGGAACCATCTATGTTCTTGTCCTCAGGGTACTGATCTTCAGGACACTGAGGTTGAAAACAAAGCTGGTTCTTGAAATGTTGATGTTTTCTCCATTAAACCACCTGACATGGCTGGTAGCCTGAGAAGAATTCATTATACTTAGTCGTTGTGAAAGCTTCAGATCATAATAATAGAATCCTTACTCATCTCAGAAGTAGGTTCCTTTACCCTTATTAGATGAGGGTAGAGGGCAGGAAGATCAGTAGACCATAACTAGAAGGACTGGAACAGAAACATTTAGTCTTCAATAGAGGTTGAAACTTTATAATAAATAAATAAAAATTGACAGTGGAACCACAGTTCCCTAGTTAATGTTGAATAACGTTTAACTGTAGAAGTATATTTGTACAGAAATAAAATTTTATTTACACATTAATGTATACATTTACATCTTATCTATACGTGACGTCATCCACGGACGGCTTATCTATGTGTTGCGTCATGTACTCAACACACTCACTCTAGAACCCTTCTCTGTTACCAAATAAATGGCCAAAACTCCTAAACCGTAAGAGTTAGCTGAAATCTGTTTGCAAATTTGAAAAGATCGTGTTTATTTACGTATTTCACTTACAATATGTCCCGATCTAACTCTTACGCTTTAGACGTGGCAAGCGGTTGAAGTTAAGGAACGAGGTTATAGTTATTACATGTTTTGGGTAATTATTTCAATATGCATTATAGAATAAAGCAAACATCATGTAGAAAAAACCCTTTATTTACTCTTTAATTTACATGTAGGTTTATATGAGCCGGGATAGCTCAGTCAGTATAGTGACTAGCTATGGGCTGGACCACCGGGGTTCGATCCCCGATGGGGGCAGAGGATTTTTCCTCCAGCCTTTGCGTCCGGACTGGCTCTGGGGCCCACCCAGCCTCCTATACAATGGGTACCGGGGTCCTTTCCCGGGGGTAAAGCCGGCCGGGGCGTGATGCTGACCACTCACCCCAATCTAGTGCCGGGGTCAAGGAAGAGAGGAGCTATACCTCCACTCACCCCAAACGCCTACATGGCGTATAGTGGGACAAACTTTACTTTACTTTACATGTAGGTTTATATTCTCTATCTTACATAGGTCTCGAGTTATTGGCGTTTGAAAAAGTTGCACACCAGCGTTACCTTACATCGTACAGTTTCCGTTGAGTGTACTGTGATTTTTTAAACGTTATTCAACGTTAAAAAAACTTAAATAATGTAACATTCATGGGTGTTTGTGAAAGTTTGTAGCTAAAGTTGTTTATGGTCCTGAGTTATGTTATTGTTTTGTGGTGGACTGGTTTGCCAATTTTTCGAAGATCTTGGCTGTTTGCATCTAATGGACGTCTCCTTGTTCAGCAGAATTTGAGACAATATTTTTTTCATTGTGCTTAATGCAAGAAATCATAAACCTCTTCATCCAAGCAAAATATAAGTAAATTATTTTTCCTACCTGGAGCATATTAATTTCAGAGTGTATTCTAGGATACTCTGAAGTAAGTGACTGAATAATATTCTACTGACTTCTTAATTTTGATTTCCTTATTACTTGCTTGTTGTTTTGTATAAGCTGAGACTTCTGTTCCCTGGTAAAACACAAACGTCGTGGAAATGTTAGTTTATATATTTGATGTGTATTAGCTGTGTTCTAAAACAATTTCTACAGTATGTGACACTATGAACCAAAAAATATACCCATCCCTCTAATTACAAAAATCTGTTGTTTAATTTGTTAATTTATAAGATAATTATCATTATCGTGGTTGTAATGAAAATGACCATTACATCATCGTTTATAATTTTGCTGTCTTCAAGATAAGTGGAAACTAGCAACACATTTTTGTATTCAATTGTTCTAAAATATTTTAGGCATATTTAAGATAAGAAATATGTAATGTGTATTTGTCTTCTTTTAAACCTGTTTCAACTTTATGTGGATTATCTGCCCGTATGTATTAAGGAAGGAAAAATTTAAGTAAGAAACATGTCTATCAAACATAACGGCCAAGAGGTTGGCTTCCTTCGTATTTAAGAGGTCGTGGGTAAAATCTACCATTGTTTTATTTTTTATTTTATTTATTTTAAGTTAATTTTTGTTTGTGTTAGAATTGAAAAATCTGTGTTACAACCAATGAAATTATGCCCTATATGTAATCAATGTTTTATTATATGTATGTTGTTCGACTGACTAGGTTTTCTGGGTCATAATGCTATGTTCGTGGTCTTCTGCGTTCTGACTCTGTGTAATCTTGTACACAGCAATCTTCTTCCTGCCTTGTGAACCTCAAATCTCTTTCTGATGGTCACAGAGGTTGGGCATGTATAAATGTGAAATAATATACTATGACTTCTGCATGGTGCGGAATGAACCCAATTTATATTGAGAATCCAAGGAGTGCAACATAAAGACGTAATTTATTAGGATCTGCCTTAATTTCCTTACTTAATAAGGCAAAATATAATTAACTTTACGATTCCACAAAGCGGAGTGAAATATTTTTACCAGCTCAGGGACTATTAGCTGCTCAAGAAGACCCTTGTCCCATTGAAGTAGGTGAGTTAGTTCGCCATAAAACAACATATGCTTAGCCTATGTTCATATAAGCTGTTCATGTCCGTGCAAATATGTGTCCGCCCCCTTAATAAGTTCCGAACTAGAGGACGGAGGATCTTCGGCAAATTTGAACGAAGTATGACTATGGGTCTATGACACCCAACCTTGTATCAGCGTGATAGCGTTAAACGATCTGTGGTTGAAGCAACATTAGCGGAAGCACTGTAAATCTGTGGTACGACCCATCTTAGAAAAACATCTAAGCTGTGAAGTGTTTTCTGAAAATTATGTAAATAAGCAACCCAGGAGTCGTGAAATACAAAAAGCTTATACTCTGTTCTGGGCTTTACGGCAATAAATAAAGAACCATTGTAACTAGACGTGTGAAATGTTGTAAGGCGATACATAATAAACGTACCTACAATTTTGGCATAAAATATTGTTTATTTATCTACAAACATAAGAGATATATAGAAACACTGGGGAAAAGTCTACAAAACGTTAACTTAGCCAACATATGTAGTCCTCCAGTGGAAATAGTAAATATAAATTAATAAATTCTCGCCGGCTGCACTATACGAGATGAAACATATCAAATTTGTCTGTAGTTTCTGTTATGACGTTGGCAGTAGCTCAGAATACATAGGGTCTAGAAACGTACTAAGCAAAGCTGGGCGTCACGAGTTCTTCCCAGAATGCCTTGTTGTGGCAACAGTAGTGTAGCGTAGCATATAAAATCGAAATGACCTGGGGTGTCAGAGTACCAACCCCGCCCTGCTTTAATTCCAACCCTTATCAAGGTCGACTGGCGTGATGACGCGAGCAGTGACCTCCCCTGTACTGGAGAATCGATAATTTCTCGCCAAGAGTTGCGTTTGGGTAGGTTACGAGACATCACTTTGATCGTAACTGAATTAAACACAGCTATAAATGATCAAGTAGGGCTGAATCTCAACAGCTTCAACTTTACTCGTATGACTTCATGCTGCAGAATTTATTGAATAGGTTTACTTCAAACCTCCCTACAGGAAGACTGTAGAAATTTTAAGATTTTCGACGTTTTGTCGTGAGACTAAATTTAAATTTTGTGCCACAGATGTGTGTACACAAAGACATTGGACTGGTATGATTTGAGGTTTTAAAACCGTTGAGTATGTAGATTTCTGTCTTCTGGGTTGTTGCGCCGTGTAGTATGGTCGATGTTTACCAACGTTTCTGAGATCATACTGCCTCCGTCATCAGGGCGATTCGTTCTAAGTTATCTACGCTATGAAGATTTCTGTCTTCTGGGTTGTTGCGCTGTGTAGTATGGTAGATGTTAAGAAACGTTTCAGAGGTCATACTACACAGCGCAACAACCCAGAAGA